TAATAAAAGGTTCAATTCATCTGGAAGATAATATTAATCCTAACCTTAGAGAAAATTTCAAATCCACCATTTTAGCATCTCTGTCAAGTAGACAAAAGACATTAGATACAACAGATTAAGTAGAATTAGTGAGGATACAGATGGGAACAGCATAGTTAATAAGTTTGTATGGACATATATAGAAAATACATTTATATACATCGATTAGGGAATATATATATTTTTTTTACGCACAGGTATAACATTTACAAAACCCAACTATACCCTACCTATAAAGTTAGCATCAGCAAATTTTCAGGTATGGTTATCAGTATCAATCAGATTCCCTGATCATGATGAAATTAAGTTTGAAATCATTAACAAAATGATAAATAGAAAAGCCTTATACTTTTAGAAACTAGACATTTCTAACAATTCACAGGTTAAAGATATCTCTTTTTAAAATCTCAAAAGTGTGAAATTTGTTTCAAGTTCCTTAAAGTATAAGAATAAATTTCTCATGTAATAATTAGTAAAAACTGATTTATTTAAAAGACATGGCCAATACCTAAGCTGTAGATAAGTATTTTCCATTGTGCATGCATACTTTCAAAAATTTGTTACTAAAATGCACAACTGAAAGGAAAAAAGTTTACAGGTGGAGATAAATCATTTTAATAGCCACTTATCTCACTGGAAAATCTTTTAGCTCTTTCAAACTGGAGAGGGAGGAATGGAGACGAGAAAATTCAACATTCATTCATGGAATAACAGTTTACTAAAAGCCTGGTCTGTGCCTGATACAGAAGACACACAGATGAGCAAACACACAGTCCAGCCCCCAGGGGCTGACAGCACCCTAAAGGAGCAGTGGGCAGAGAAACACGTGTAAAAGCCGTCTGGACGAATGAGGTGACCCTGGTATGGGTCGGGGAGATCAGAAAGCTTTCTGTAGTAATGCTTTGAGCTGAGATATAATGTGTAAAAGAAGGCACATAAGTGAAAAGGACAGAGAACAGCATTCCAGAAAGGAGGAACAGCATGTGCAAAGGTACAAAGTTTCGGTGGGCAATCAAACTAAAACTGTAATTAAAATTTCAGATGGATGGTCAATATAAAAGCAGGGTACAGCAGAAATTCTGCAAAATTTTTATGCTTTCTCATCTGTTCCTTCTTTAAGAAGAAATTGGTTGATATTCCTACAGTCATAGAATTTTTCTGCAACTATACAAATACTGTCTAGATACTCTATTTATGAAGACACTTTAAAATATAGTACTGTCATGCAAAACTGAATGCTTACCATTTTCCATACTGTTATAAAAAAACTATCAAAAACAACTAAATCTTTAAGACCCTTTCGAAAGCTACTGCTACTCTCTTCTTCAATAAACTTCTACAGTAAACAGGTTTTTGCTCAGAAGAGACTACAAAGTATGCTTTCTAAACTCTTCTCATAATATATATCATGTAACAGTCCTGAGCAATACCGGTAATTTCAATATTACACCCTCACTCCATTCAACCAAACAAGCACTATAACAAAGATACAACTTCAGATACTGGAGATGGAAAGAAAAACTAAAAACAAAACCGAAAACAAAAACAAAAACCCGAAAACAGGAATTCTTCAAATTTGGTTCTAATGATTACTCCTAAAAGTGTAGCTCAGCAGTAAAGAATCCGCCTGGAATGCAGGAGAGGCAAGTTTGATCCCTGGGTCAGGAAGGTCCCCTGGAGAAGGAAATGGCAACTCACTCCAGTATTCTTGACTGGAGAATTCCATGGACAGAGAGTAGTCTGGCAGGCTACAGCCTATGGGGTCGCAAAGAGCTGGACACAACTTAGCGACTAAACATAAAACAACATAAAACGTGTCTACATAAGCACAAAAGGATTCAGATTAGTTCCAAAGGTTAACTGTGACATGGAAATTACAGCTAAATTACACAGCTATGGACTAACTTCTATTAACTATTTCATGTCTCTTTTGCTATATCCCAGAAGAAAAAGAGAGAAAAAGAATTTCTTTCCCTTAAATAATTTATTCCTAAGTCCACCATATGACTATGTAAAAATATAACCTGGCGTTCCTAGAAGTACAGGCTATACACTCATATTAGCCTTTTGTTGTATTTATTAAATGTGACAAGATGGGGACTCAAGGTGAATTCAACATTCTGAGATTAGAAACAAGAACAGATCATTTCTTTCAACTGTGCAGTTACTGATTAATTTTCTTTGGCAGTTAAGAACTAGCTAATTCAAGTTTTTCTTCTAAAAGGTAATTTCTTACTATTGTGAATATACCAGTGTAGTTTTCTAAAAAGCATGATAGTTCAAAGATGACTTATCTTCATGAAAACATATAAGAGCATTACATCAGAAAATTATATCTGAAGACAACTGAAGGCATTTTCTGACACTACCTAAAATATCCACACATTGTGTTTATGTCTCATCACTTAATGCTTGCGGCAGGAGCCTGAATGCCATTTGATACAATTTTTTAAAAGTCAGACAGTATTACTTACTAAAAAGTTTATTCTTATTCGCTCTTACTAAAAAGTTAACCTAACCAATTAAAATTAAAGAAAGGAAAGGAAAACCCTCAAACTACTCAGATGCTGGTAATGGTATGGATGGAAGGGAGTGGGAAACAAAATTTGGGAACAATTAAAAAAAGAAACTGGTTTGATGTAAGAATCACCAGGAAGTAGGAAAACGGAGGAAGACTCCTATATAAGTGCTTCTCCTTTTTTTTTGAAACCGGAAGTGGTTTGTCACAATGTAAACATGGAAAGGAGTACCATGTGGAATAGTGATTTAGAAAGGTGAAAGAAACCGACTCAGGATGACTGTTATCTGCCTTCAGTGGAGAAGGCAATAGAGTAGGAAGTGTTCACCCATGCTTTAAGGCTTGTGTTTTGTGAGGACATACACAATTCAAGTTTAGCACAAAAACTATTCTAATTTTATGGAAAAATACCCACTCCAGTATTCTTGCCTGGAAAATTCCATGGACAGAGGAGCCTGACGGGCTACAGTTCTGGGGTTGCAAACAGTAGGACACAACTGAGCATACAAGAGCATGCAAGTTCAGGTTTAAGTATCAAATAAAATTTTCATTATATATACCAGCACTAGTTGCTAAGCTGAGTCCCACTGAATGGACAGTCTAATATGGGCCAGTAGATCAGGGTACAAAATAGCAAAACACTGACCATCAAAGGAATAGATATCTACCATAAACAGCTTTTAAGGTTGTAAGATGAGCGCAAAGTAAAATGTGTAATTGGTCATTTAAATGTTTGGCAACAAACCTCAAAATCAAATTTCCTTAGAAATATTTGATCTAAGTTTTGTTTCTAAAAAGATCAACATGAAATAATATATGTTTAAAAGGTAGCAAAGTTCTATTACATCTAAGAAAACCAAGATAGAGTCTGAAGTGAATTTAAAAGGTAGCAAAGTTCTATTACATCTAAGAAAACCAAGATAGAGTCTGAAGTGAATTTAAAATTGCTCAGTCGTGTCCGACTCTGCGACTCCATGGACTATACAGTCCATGGAATTCTCCAGGCCAGCATACTGTAGTGGGTAACCTTTCCCTTCTCCAGGGATCTTCCCAACCCAGGGATTGAACCCAGTTCTCCCGCATTGCAGGCGGATTCTTTACCAGCTGAGCCACCAGGGAAGACAGCGCTTAGCCAATAATATATTAACAAGAAAGTAATTATTTCAGTAACAGCAGGCAACAGGTTCCCTGGAGAAGAATCTCCATCAAAAACAAAAAACACACTGCACCTAGACAGAAACAGAACACAAAACTTCCCAGACTGAAATATGAATATGATCTTCGAAAGGTGTTTTAAACTTATCAGTTTTCTAAGTTTTCTCTACCAAAACCAAAAACCCAACAGCAACAAATCTAAGGCTTTCACCAACCCAAGAAGTGAGGTTTCAAAAATAAACACGGTAGAGGGTTCTGATGTTAATAAAAGGGACATTACTGAAACTATTTCCAAAATCAAACAAAAAGTCAACTCAAACCCCACCCCTGGCTCCTGCAGGGGAGCGTGGCTTTCCCATTTCAGTGGCCGACGAGAACGAAACGTTCCAGCCCCCGGAGCTGGGGGAGGAAGGTGGCGCCTGCAGACTCAGGTAGCGACGGGTGAACGGTAATTTCGCCGACAATACTGTAAAATAAGCAAACCACCGCTCCTGGCCAATTAACCAAGCGCGAGTCAAAGTTCCACCACGTAATTCGGGCCTGGACCTTTTTTTTTTTTTAAGCAAACAACGTAATTGAAAGCAGAGTCATTTCCCTCTTGGTATTTTATTCATGCTGGAAATAACATTCAAATCGAAAAGGTAGCAAAACAAAAGAGAAAAAAAAAAAAAACACCAAGAAAACTGAGGGAAATAGAAGCGCGCGGGACGTTTCACTAGCGTTTTTTTCCCTCCTCAGGAGCCTCGACTCTCCGGCCTGCATTTTAAATTCCCAATCCGGCCGGGCGCGGGTCGGACCCCCGAAAGCCGCCCGCGGCGCCGGGGGAGTCCCACCCTCTACGGAGGGAGGAGGGAACGCTGCTCCCGCGGCGGCGGCGGCCGGACGCGCGGAGCGGCGGAGAGTGGACTCCACTCGGGACCGAGTCGGGGGCTCTCCCGGCAGGCGGGCGGGCGGCTTCGCGGGGCGGGCGCCGGGGAGCTGCGGGAACTTTCCCTCCCTCTCGCCCGGCCGCGGCCCACACGCTCAGGCGCAAACTTTGCAGACGGCGCTGCGAGCGGCCGGAGTCCCGCCCCGCGCCCCCCAGCCGAGCCCCCGCGCGCCCCGGCCCCGGCCCCTCGTCCGCCCCGCTTGCCCCGAGCCCGGCAGGGGCCGGGTGGGCCCCGGCGCGACCCCTCGGCCTCCCCGGCTGCGCTGCCGCCCGCGCACCCCCCCCGCCGGCCGCGACCCTCCCCCCGCGCCGCCGCAGGGCCGAGCGGCCGGCCCGGGGCCTGGGCCGCGCTCCCCTCACCTTGGTGGCCATGGCGGGCGGATCTGCCCCCCGCCCTCAGCCCGGGACGGTCGGCTCCTCTCCCGCGCCGCAGCTATCGGCCCCAGGCGGCCGGACGAAAGCGAGGGCGGCGGCGGCGGCTACGGCTGGGCCCCGGCGCGGCGGCGGCGGCGGCTCCGCCCCGGCCCCGAGTCTCGGCTCTGGGCGACTCCAGCCGCCGCCCCGCTCCTCCAGTTCCTGAAACTCCCCGGCTGCGCGGCCCCCGCCCCCGCCGGCCGAGCCTCCCATCTATCGCGGCGTGCGCGGCGCGGCCGGCGGAAGCGCGCCCGGTGCCCTCGGCCGGCCCGGCCTCCTCTCCCACTTTCCACCCCCGCCCGGAGCCTTCGCCTCGGGCCGCGCCGCCGGCGCCCTTTGTCGCAGAGCTCCGGGCCGCGTCCCCCGAGGGCGGCCGGGGTCGGGCCGGATCACGGTCCCCCCACCCACCGACCGCGTCCCGCCTGGCCGCCCGCCGTGGGGACGGTGGACGGGAGTGAGGGACACGTTTATGAGGGAGCGCCTGCCGGGGGAGCCGAGTCTCGAGCGGCCCTTCAGCCGGTCACCGCGACTGAAGTGTTTCGCTGTGGAGATACAACGGGGCGCGTCCCCCTGGACGGGCTCGAGTCGCGGACGGGATCTTTGTCCCGCGTCGGGGTGGCTGTGGGGCCGGTCGTGCTCGGGGCTAAGTGAAATGAGTGTGGAGAACGCAGCCGGCACGGATCGGAGCAATGGCTTCCAGGTCCGCCTGGCCCTTCACGGAAAACCCGCCACCCGCCCGGAGTTGCCGGCGGGCTGTGGTCCCGGGCCCGGGGCTTCTGGGCTTTCGTTCTGAGGCGTCCCGTTAACCTCCTCTGGACTCCCGATAAATTTAAAAAAACGCCTCCGGGCCCCAGAGGTTTGGGGGAGACCCAACAGGTTTCCCGAAATGGGAATTTTAGAAGTCTTAAAAATTTCCATTTTTCTTGTCAAAACATTTTTCTTCAGAGTTGGATGTGTGGCCTTTGTTATCAATAATAAATGAATGAATTAAATTGAATAGCAAGATTTTCACTCAAGTACGAAAGATGTGACTGAAAGACATCTCTTGATATTATTACAGTACATTTTATTTTATCACGGGGATATGTACCTCATAAAAGAGGCAACTATCAGAAATCATCTTTAAGCGAGGAAAGTGGTACAGTTAATGTCAATTTTTGTCCTCTCGAAAATATTCTATTTGATCTCTAGAAATTTAACTGGTTACCTTCTACAAAGAGGTTTTAAATGGATAGGGTACTAAAGCATTTTCTGTGAATTTTTGTGTTTGAGTTCGGGGGCTGCAGCTATTATCATCATGTTTGTTAGTCGCTCAATCATGTCCAACTCGTTGGGACCCCATGGACTGTAGCCCACCAGGCTCCTCTGTCGTTACTGGAGCAGCGTGCCAGTTCCTCCTCCAGGGGGATCGTCCCAACCGGGGGATTGAACCCACATCTGCATTGCTGGCAGATTCTTTACCAGCTGAGCCACCAGGAAAGCTCAGGTGGCCCAAGTGAGAAAGAACCTGCCCTACCAATGCAGGAGAGGTGAGAGAGGAAGGTTCCATCCCTGGGTGGGGAAGATCCCATGAAGGAGGGAATGGCAACCCACCCCAGTATTCCTGCCTGGAGAATTTCATGGACAGAGGAGCCTGGTGGGCTTCAGTCCATGGGATCTCAAAGAGTCAGACATGACTGAGACTTAACACAAGCAACTAAGACCCCATATGCCATGCACAGCTTGGCCAAAAAAAAAGGGGGGGGGGCGGTAATGATAAAAGTAAAAGGAACATTATGTATAGTACAATCCATTTGTGTAAAAAAAAAAAGAAAGAAAATAGGTTGTATATGCCTAGGAAATTGCTGAGAAGATTCACTAGAGGCTATTGTCAGAATTTTTGATTATGTATGTGTGTTGCTTTATCTTAAAAAAAGTTACATTTTAAATATTTATTTATTTGTCTATGCTGGGTCTACTTCTGTTGTGAGATGTGGGATCTTTAGTGGCAACATGCCAGCTCTTAGTTGCAGCATTTGGGATCTAGTTCCCTGACTAGGGATTGAACCTGAGTGCCCTGCATTGGGAGCATGGAGTCTTAACCACTCAGCCAACCAGGTAAGTCCCAAAGCAAGTTTACATTTTAACAAACAACTAAATAAATCCTTTGGCTAAGCACGCAGTAATATGTAGAGAAGTAAGGATTTGAACTTGGATAATACTGTAAGTAATGAATTTTCCTTATTCTTTTCAATTTGAAAACTGGCTACAGCACCCTGCAGCAATTCAGCAATGCATATTTTGATAAGAAGGTGCAGATTGAGGGTCCCTCCTGTGACTGTGCATTTCTGCATGCTTATTTGTTAAGTTCTGGATACCCAGTCATCCTGGGCACCTAGCACCAAGAAAGCAAGCAGATCAGAGTCCAAGCATTCCCTACTTGGACAAGGTCTGTAAGCCTGGCTTCATTTTTAGAAAAAAAAACCCAGTTGACACCAAACTCAGAATGACCAATGCAAATTAGTACGAATGTTTAAATAAAGGTGAAGTCACTTCCTGTGTTATTGAGGTGGGCGTTAATTTATAGAGCCTGGAAGAGTAGCCATTGACAATCCTCACCTGACGTCCAGCTCCATCTCACACTGCCCGCCCCAGGCTCTGCTTCAACCACACTGGCCTCCCACATCCTCCTGAATCCTGGTCTTTACATTCCGTTTCGGTGGAGAGGGCCAGGACTGGCTATGGGGCACATGACCTGTGTCGTCTCACAGGGCCTCGTCCTTCCTTTAATGCTCTGCTCTTGCCATCTTTAAATTCTTAATAGTTTTGAACAAGGGGCTTCACATTTTCATTTCGCACTGGGACTCTCAAGTTATGTTGTTGTTGTTGATTCTTTGAAATTCCCGCCAACCACCCCTCCTCCTCCACACCCACACACCCACTAACCTCCCACTCATCCTTCAGAGCTGCCCAGAACCCTTGCAACAGACAGTTTGTCGGGGATATCTTCCCTGTCCCCAGTCTAAGTCAAGTTCTGTTGATAAAAAATTTCATGTACTGGTTTCCTTGCCTGTGGAAACAACAGCTTGTCATTCATTTGCCTGCCTTTCCATCCGACTGTTAGTTCAGGAGAGGAAGCCCTGTGCCCCTGTCTTGCACCTGCCTCTAGCATCATGCCAAGCTCAGAATAAGTCCCTGCTAATACTTTGTGAAATAAATGAATAAATGAATGGATGAGAGCTTTTGGAAATACAAATTAAGCAATATATTCAATATTTAATGGCATTTGCCTGAGTTTGCTTGCTTTAAAGAATTCTGTGGACCATGTTTGAAAACCACCATCTCTATCATCACCTAAGTTAATGTGACATATTGCACAATACAAATTTTCTCAATGTTTTATTAATAATATCTTATTTTTTTCAAAAATATCTTCAGAACTGTTATTCCTCTATGACAATGTTTTATGAGGTAATGTTGATTTTGACTGGTATAATTGGAAATGAAAATGTTCAACCTGGCAGTATTTATTGGAGATGCGGTACCCAATTTATCAATAAAAATGCAATAAGTAAATACTTAATTACATTTATGATAATATGCTTTAGATACTCCTTAGTGTGACTTATCTTTTTTGTTACCTGCAACTAGAGGAATGCAGGATCTTAGTTTCCAGCCGGGGATGGAACCCGCGCCCCCTGCAGTGGAAGTCAACTGCTGGACCTCCAAGGAAGTCTCTAGTGTGACTTAAAATTGAAGTGCACATCTCCTATGTACTTTCTAGTTATTGGTTGGCTTTTATTTGTTCTGGATATGATTACCGCATACATGAAATGATAAAATGGTAATCCTGTCATTTATGGGTGTAAAACTGAGACTGGAGTAGTTAAATGACCTATCCATGGCCATGAATTAAGCCAGAGCAGAGACTAGAGTCTAATTCTCTTATCACAGTCTCTAAAATGTGTCATTTTCAAATTAAAAATATTTTAGGCAAGAGGTTTCGAGGGCATTTGGTGATGGTCAAGACAATCACAGCTATGGGAATTCCCTGGCAGTCCAGTGGTTAGGATTCCACGCTTCCAGGGCAGGGAGCACCGGGTTGGATCCCTGATGTTCACTTCCCAACCCCACCTCCCACCCCCTCCACTAAAGAAAAAGACAGTTACCGCTGAAAACAGGACAAGGGCTTCTGTGCTGAGCTGTGCTAGGAGCCACTCACCCACACGAGAAGGACAGAGGAAGCATGGCGTCCTTTCCTCTCGTCTCATGGAGTCCAGCTGCCCAGTGGAACAGGGGCGTCTCCCAAACTGGAAGGTTGACTTCACTCTAAAGAGCTCTGGGCAGAGTTGGGAAGTAGCTGGTTTCCTCTTCTGCTTCCCTTGATCACCCATTCATCCTGCTTTCCTCCCTTCCTTCCCCTTCCTTCCTAGACAAGCTTCCTTAGAGGTGGTTCCTCCCATCCTGGCACTCAAATCCCAGAGCCCTGGCATTGAGCCTAACACATACCAAGTTCAGTTATTTCCTTTATTCCCATTGATGAGAATGCAATTGAGTAGTTAAGAAATTTGATTTGCATCTGCAGATACTTTTAGTTATAACTAGCTTCCACTTTCAGAAGAAAAAAGAGCTGTAGCCCGAGCAACAGAGCTGCTCCCTTTGGGTTTTGCACTCTCTTCTTCACGCCCAAGAAGAGGCAGCTATGAGGATTCCTGGGAAGTCTGTGCTTCTGACACAGCTGGTGGCGATGAGAAAAGAATGGCCATTAATGCTTGCCCTGGGTTTGTTCAGTAATGGTCGTACATTATGACTGTACTCTTAGGACATTAAACCACTTTTGTTTTAACTGCAGAAATTAATATTAGCTTCCATGTTGCAGTTCAGGAACTCTCAAACTCATTTTCTCACAGTGAAGTGATTGTTTTTAAAATTTGTCTTTCCAAAACCTGGAAGTTCCTTAGATACAACTATGATGATTC